ATAGGTGGAATAACTTATTAGATGTCTCAAGCAGCAAACATTCAGCTTTCTTGGGGGGGTGGGGTTATAATGTGACTTCATGAAACTACAAAAAAAAAGAGGGGGTAATAATTACAAAAGAGGGCCTCCCCTGGTAGCTCAGCGGTTGAGTGTTGAGCTGCAAAGCTGCCCACAGCCTCTGCAGCACAGGTTCGATTCCAGGGGTGCAGCCGAGGGTCCCACATGGCACGTAGACCTCTCCTGCTGCGCCCGCTGCTCCCCTCAGCAGTGTATTTTGTCGGTTCCCCGCTCTGGCCCTGGTGAATTCTCTCACTCTCCAGCACTTCTGACTGTACCCAGTGCTTGTATGAATAAATAAATAAATCTTTAAAACAAAATAATAGTAATAATTACCAAAGAGAATTATTTCCCCTGAGGAATAACATTAAAATTTTATCTTAAGTAGACCCTAGCGCCGTACCAACAACTGACACAGTAGTGTGTCCCAGCACATTTTATATTTTATTTTTTGTTGTTGTTTTAAATTTTTTAAATATATTTTGTATTTAAAAAAAGAAGAAGAAAAAAAGAGAAAAGATAAGCATGGGTGCCGTCCTGTGATCCAAATTTCCTTGCAATGATTTCCAGGCATTCCCAACTACAAGGTTATTTTACTTTATTGTTAACATGTAAACAGAATTTTTGGTTTTCTATTTTTTTTAATATTTTATTATTTTTATTTATACAAGAACTGGGGTACAGGCCAGAGGCACAGGAGGGTGAGAGGATTCACCAGAGACAGAGATGGCAGAAGAACAGGAAGACAGACCAAAGACACTGCTGAGGGGAGCAGTGGGTGAGGCAGGAGAGGTCTGCTGTGCCATGTGGGTTTCTCCCTGGCTGGCCAGGAATCGAACCTGCGCCGCAAAGGGCCGCAAAGGCTGTGGACAGCTTCACAGAGCTGCACTCAACCCGCTGTGCCACTGGGGAGGCCACCAGAATTTTTAGCCAAAGGACAAAGACTCACAGTGAGAACTAGAAGGGTGGGGGGCAGTAAATTGTTCCCTTTCCCACCATGCTGCTTGCAGCCAGAGTTCTGCAATCTGTTCCCAAGGGGCAGGGCTCTCCCTCTCCTGGAACCCTCCCCATTATTATACTAATTTCTATTTACCCATCATCTCTCACCCAACAATCTCCAGGCACCTCACAAATAAGCACTGGCCTTTGAGCCTTGTTGGGAAGGTGAAACATCATCCCACCCCTTTCTAGAGTGGGGGACAGAGATGAGAAGACTTGCCCAGAACAAAATAATAGCAAGATGAGGCGCCGATGCAGCTTGGCTGGGTCTCCTCAGCAGTGTCCACCCCATTTTAATACCCCTCAGGATCCCGCTCTCAGCTTTGGTAGGGCTGCTCCAAGTGCAAGGTCAACAGCTTCCTGCAAGGTGCCAGGTTTCTTTAGCCAGAGGGAGGAGAGGAAAATTTGTTTTCCTTATGTATTTTTTTTTAAAGATTATTTTTATTTATACACACAAGACCTGGGGTCCAGGCCAGAGGTGCAGAGGGTGAGGGGATTCACCAGAGACAGAGTGGGGAGCAGAACAGGCAGATCCACTGAAATACACTGCTGAGGGGAGCAGCGGGGAGACAGGAGAGGTCTGCTGCACCATGGTTGGGTCAACTCCCCGGCCAGGAATCGAAATCAGGCCTCAGTAGCTAGCCATAGCTTGATCATGATGAGATTAACCCCTGTGCCACCAGGGAGGCCCAGTTTCCTTATGTCTCGAAGGACCAAAAATTTTAAAGGCCTGCAAATGACAGCAGAGGACACCCCCACCCCCAACCCCACAGTGGTCAACATCAATCTTCTCTTTGTTCTTTCTTCATTGAACTGAAACTACTTTTCGCCAAGATAAATTTGTTAGACGTGAACCTTGATAATGACTGCTGTTAAATACCTTTACCAATTCGTTTCTTGAACTTAGAAAAGAAAAAATAACTTTGGATCTAGAAGAAAGGAGCAGTCCCCAGACATCCCTGAAACACCTGGCATGTCGACTTCATGACAGTTTCTGCCGGGTCTGCAGCCCTCAGTGCTGTGAGTCATCGGTTCTCAATGACTCAATCTGAGTAGCATCAACTGTGTTAGAAAGCAAAACTGACATCAATGGCAGGGGAAACAGGAGTGAGTGACGGGCATAAAACAGCAAGCTACTGATACAGAAGAGGCCTTTTAAACTACATATGTTGAGTATTTAAATGCTAGCACTACACTTCTTGTCTGGGTGAGTCTGGTAACTTCACTTCTGAGATGCATCCATAAAAGGGAGAGAACTCTTACACTCACAGGGTCCTTGTTAGGTTATGAAAGGAGGTATTTAAAGCCCCTAATCGTGGTGTGCCAAGCACTTAACAAGTTGGTTCTTTTCTGTTTGCATATTTTAATACACAGGAGAATTTTGGTCCTATACCGATTCCTTGGAAAGCGAGGTCCCAGCGCAGTATGACAGTGTGGGGCAGAGAGGACCGAAGACTCTGATAAACCTCATGGGGGCAAAAGATGACCCCATGCCACATACCAAAAACCTTGCAGCTGGGTGATGAGTGCCTAGGGGTTCACAATATTACTTTCCTTAAATATGCGTGAAAAGTTCTGTAACAAAAAGTTCAAATAATAATACATTTTAAAAGTCTTAACTTTAGGGGCCTCTCTGATGGCACAGGGGTTAAGATGCAACCTATGAAGTTGTCCGCAGCCTTTGCAGCCTCTGCAGCCTCTGCAGCATGAGTTCGATTTGCCGGCCAGCCAGGGAGCAACCCACATGGTGCAGCAGACCTCTCCTGTCTTGCCCGCTGCTCCCCTCGGCAGTGTATTTCAGTCAGTCTGCCTGTTCTGTTCCCCGCTCTGTCTCTGGTGAATCCTCTCACCACCCCCTCCACACCTCTGGCCTGTACCCCAGCTCTTGTATACATAGATAAATAAATCTTTTTTTAAAAAAGTCTTAACTTTAGAAAACAAGATCGAGGAAGAGGGCTCTAAGATCCCAAGACCCGGGGTTGAATCTCTATTTTCTATTCTTGGCGCATTATCAAACCCATCCGAGTTTCAATTTCCTCTCTTGTAAAAGGGGCTAACAGTGGGGTGGTGCTTCTGAGACCCTCATGCTACCTGGGAAGCACTGCCCAGCTCAGGGGAGCAGTCAGCAGGCCCTGTCCTTTGGGGTCTGCCTCGACTTTCAAGCCACAGCAATGCGCTGCTTACAGCAACTCACAACCAATGACGGGGCGGGAGGCAGCCACGGTCACCGGCTTCTTGGGGCCACCCTGGGTCAAGGGGAATGAGCAGGGCAGCGGAACAAGGGCTGGCCACTTCTGTCTACTGTGAACGCCTCGAGGGGGTCATCTTTCCTCTGCATCGCCTGGTAGAGACCTGTTGTGCTGTCTCAGACCTGGCGGCCCCCTCGGTCCAAGCACATTGCTCCATGGGTGTTACCCGAATCCACCTCAGCATCTCATTCCTAGACACAGTGCTGGGCTCTCGAGGCAAACAAATGAGATGAGGTCGGAATCCTGTTGCACAGCATCTGAGATATGATAAGCTTTCCCAAGCTGGCCGTGTTGGTGATGACTATTCAACAGGCAACAGGGCCTGGCACATAGGAAAATATTATAAGATCTATGGAGTTTATGTGATTACAAGCTATTTATTTCTGTTTTTACAAGCCATAAAGAGAGTAGAAGTAAAAATGGAGACAGTAGCAGCTGAACTGTAGACGCTAAGACCACAGGTGCTTGTCTAAGAAGTAATTCTTTTTAAAATTCCAATTTCTAGAATGGTATATTCTAAATTAGAAAAAAAAAAAAACAGCACAGCTAGTGTGATATTATATATATGGGTATTATAACTTGGCAATAAGAAACTGGAAGTTTCCTCTTCTTTTGCTCATTTGAATCTATTCTAGTATTAAACGATGAAGGTGATTAAGCTTCACATAATTTCAATGGAGGATTTTACAAAGTGGGTGAGAATCCTGAGTTAGAGTTGGTTCCCCTTGGAAGATCACAATCAGTCAATACTAAAAATTCACATACTCCCAACTAACTAACTATCTCCCTATTTGGTCCTTTATGATTAATTTTTTTACCCAGACATTTTTTCACCCAGATTATTTTTTTTTACCCAGATTAATTTTTTACCAATATCCTTCATGATTAATTTTTTATCCTGGGCTCAAGCTAGTATGAGTATCCTGGGCACAAGTCAGAAAACAAATAATTCATTATAAATGAATTCCAGAAGACTTCACATCCACATACTAAAATCTAATTAGATTAATTTCCCAGGGCATTCATGTATTCTTGGTAGCTGGCAATTTTTAAGTGTCAAAATAAAGCCTTATTTTTAAATGTGGGTGGTGTTGATGAAACAAGTATGAGTAATACTTGCAGGAAACACAATATTAGCTTTAACTAGGAAGTGCTTCAAAGCAGCACCAACGTACAGCAAGAGCTACTACGTGGTCTCGCACTCAGCGACACTTATACAACAAAACTTCTTTGCTTGAAATCGTTTTACCTACAGAAGGCCATTTACACCAAATTTCAAGATTATATCTAATGTAGAAAGTGCTGGCAGCAGCGGCTGTGTAAACACCCACCACAAAGTCACCGGACTTTGTTTAATATCTAACTGGCCAGGAAAGCCTAGGCCCTGGCTGTTTTAATGGACTGCAGGGGATGGCAGGATCACACTTGATTTAGTCTGTCTTCCGAGGAGCTCTGTCCTGCTTGCCAGGTCCCGGAGTCAGTCTCCTCTGTTGGGCTGGCTTTGTTTATCCCAAACAGAAGTCTCTGAAGAGTTAAGAATAGAGAGCCACAGCAAAAACTAAACAAAACAAAGAGAAAACAGCAGAAGAGTGGAGGACCAGTCCCTCGGCTCTAGGTAGAAAGAAGAGGTAATAATTCTCCAAAACCTGCAAGTATTCATAGTCCATTACTTCCTGATTAAAAAAGACCCAGCATTGTCTAGTTTAAAATGTTAACAGGCTGTGTTCTTTATATTGACTATATAGAAAGAGGAGGCAAAGGAAATATACCCCATCTACACCCCAGTCCAGGCCCCTTGCCTGGTCTGTATTGTGAATGGAGGGGCATGGCGTCAAGGAAAAGAAAAATAATAAAAATTAAAATAAAATGTTAACATACTTTAAAGTGTCCTTATGTAAACACATGCATATCCAGTATAAATAGCACGCACAGAGAAGAAATAAATTTTGAAGTCTTACTGTAGTGTAAAAGAAAAAAAAGTACCTAAAACTGTGTATTTGAGGGTCTTCCTGGTGGTGCAAGGGTTAAAGTCTCAGGGATATCAAACTATGGCCAGCCACTGTGGGCCAGGGAGCTGACCCACTTGGCGCAGCAGACCTCCCCGGTCTGGCCCACTGCTCCCCTCAGCAGTGTATTTTGGTGGATCCACCTATTCTGCTCTCCTGTCTCTGGTGGATCCTCCCACCCCTCCGCACCTCTGGCCTACGGCCCAGCTCTTGTATGCATAAATAAAATAAATCTTTAAAAAAAAAAATGACTGTCCCTATTTGAAAGCAGGGAGCCATATGAGAAATCTCTGTACCTTCTGCTCAGACACTGTGAAACTAAAACTGCTCTAAGAAATAGCCCATTTAAAAAAGTGCCTAGAATGATAAAAGATTGTTTTACAAGAGCCAAGGTGCGGGAAGCTATTATAATTACCTTCTTGTTACTTTTATAAAGAAAATGTAAAACCCAAAGGGAAAAGGGATTCACTCATTTCTTCTATAAACGAACTCCTGCTATGAGTCAGGCATTGTCCCAGGTGGAGTTAGCAGATAACTCTTTCACTGCTGCCTCTTCAAAGGGTCACAGTCGCTGTCGCTGTAGAGTTAACACATTGCAGAAAGCACAGCACATGCCTGGCATTGGCCGCAAATCACAGATTCAACAAAGGTGACATAGAAGCAACATAAGTGGTTTCTTCCTATATTAGCCAATATGTTGTATTTGGGTTTCTCTGGTGACTTTCTCAGTTTGGACATTTTGGGCCACTCGTTTCTTATTGACACCAAAGCAAAGATGGCAGAGAGGACACTCAGAGTCTCCCCTGAATAATTTGCTAGCTCGAGTCCAATCACTGTGAGGAAAGCTAAACTTTGCAGTGGCTGTATTTATGCATCAGGTTAATAAGCAAGCTCATAAAAAAAAGTGAGCTGACACTTCAATACCTTGTCACTTCCTCTAATGAGTAGGTAGGAAAAAACAACCAAATGGAAGAAACCCTGGCTTTGCCATTTCTCCAATGACTAGTCACAGCTCCAACAAGTCAGGCAACCTGTTTACCTAATTAACATTCCTTTTTTAAAAAAAGATTTTTATTTATTTTTTCACAGAAGTGGGGTGTGGCGGGGGGGGGTGGTATGAAGATTGACCAGAGACAGAGTGGGGAGCAGGACAGCCAGATCTACTTCAACACACTGCTGAGGGGAGTAGCGGGTGAGACAGGAGAGGTCTGCTGTGCCGTGTGGGTAGCTCCCTGGCCAGGGATCAAACTCAGGCTCTCGTGGTGATAGCACTGAGACTCAACCCCTCGGTCACCAGGGAGGCCCCAACATTTCTTTTTGAACCAAGTCTTGGGTAAATATGCTTTGCTTACTCTTACACAGAAACTCTTTGGAATTTCGTGTTGCAGACTAGAGTTAAACCAGATTTATGCTTTCTCTGAAAGAAGTAAATAACTTTCGATGGATATAATGTGACTTCTAACAGGCTGATTGGTGTCTTGAGCAGTTGCTCTTCAAAAGTTTAAAGCTGATTAATAGGCATTATTATGAAGAGCTATGCAAAAAAAATCCTATTATAATGTACACACACACTTGGTTTTGAGCTTCTGATACAGAAAAGGAAAAGCCCAATTTAAGGGCAAACTAATCCAATAAAGTTATTGCAAATTATGGGTTTTGAAGGCATGTTACAGTTGCCTGATAATTTCCCAACATTTCACAATACCTCAAAGTTTCCTAGAATGTGAAAGTTTACTCCTAATACAGGGGTTAAAAAAAAGGGGCGGGGGAACGCGGAGAAAGGCTTTACTCCGGCTAACAAGCAGGATGTGGCTTAAAAGAAAGCTTTTATTAGAGTACAGTGCCTGGTGGAAACCTGTAGTTTTTCACAGCCTTTCTGGACTTTGGCTAAACTCCTAAAATGTGTGTAAGCCTTGGTAGGGTTTGGGAAGGTCTATGAAAGCTGCAGCCACCTGTTCCGTGTGGCTCATGGCCTCCCAGGCCAGAGCTCCGTCTCTCTCCCTCCAGAGTGCAATGCTGCCAAGTTGGGCTCGAGGCTCCATCATTATCTCATTGCACTTGTGCACGATCCCAAAGCCACCATCGAGGCAACCCCTCAATCAAGGCACCGCACCTTCCCCAGACTCTCACCACCAGAGAACTGGAGGTTTGTTTTTCAGAATCTTTCATGACTCCAATTATTTTTTTTTAAATCTCAAATACTAAGAAATTAAGGCTGCCGAAAATAGACATTGTTGCTCTGATGCTTTTTGGTGCTTTACCTGAAAACTCAGATTTTTGCACTTCTCTTGGTGCAAAAAACGTGTTCATTCCTTTCTATTAAACTAAAAGGCTGTCAAGGACAAGGGTGGCTGTGCCAGCGGTATGCCTTGTTTTTTCTAACTTATCCCGGACACATAGTTGTACTGTTATCACTGGTTCTTCCTCATGCACTTACTGAGTGGAAAAAAAAAAAAAAAAACCCTTTAAGTAGTTTATATACCTTCTCCCTTCAAAGTCTTTCCCAGGGCCTCCCTGGTGGTGCAAGGGGTTGGGACGCAACCTGTGAAGTTATCCACAGCCTTTGCAGCGCAAGTTCGATCCCCGGCCAGGGAGCAGCCCACATGCTGCAGCAGACCTCTGCTGTCTCCCCGCTGCTCCCCTCAGCAGTGTCTTCAGTCCATCTGCCTGTTCTGCTCCCCACTCTGTCTTTGGTGGATCCTCCCACCCCCCACACCTCTGGCCTGCACCCCAGTTCCTTTTTTTTTAAAGATTTATTTATGTATTTATTTATTTATTTATTTATTTGTTTGTTTGTTTGTTTGTTTATACAAGCACTGGGTACAGTCAGAAGCACAAGAGGGTGAGAGAATTCACCAGAGCAGAGAGCAGAGCAGGCAGACTGACGAAATACACTGCTGAGGGGAGCAGCGGGCGCGGCAGGAGAGGTCTGCACACCATGTGGGACCCTCGCCCGGCAGCCCGGGGTCGAACTGGCCCTGCAGAGGCTGCGGGCAGCTTCACAGCCCAGCGCTCAACAGCTGCGCCACCGGAGAGGCCCTGTACCCCAGTTCTTATATGCATAAATAAATCTTTTAAAAAAAGTCTTTCCCAATTACTCCTATTTTAATCTATTGCAAGTATTTGCAGAAAGGGTAGGAGCGGGAGGCCTCCCCGACCCATCACCTGCTTCAACAACCCCCTTAGAGCTAACGCCTTCATTTGCTTCAGCAGTATCCCCATCCTGGACCACCTCAAATGTTTTTTTTTTTTAAAGATTTATTTATGCATGCATGCAAGAGCTGGGGTACAAGCCGGAGGTGTGAGGGATTAGAGGATTCACCAGAGACAGTGGGGTGCAGAACAGGAGGATCTACTGAAACATACTGCTGAGGGGAGCAGCAGGGAGACAGGAGAGGTCTGCTGTGCCATGTGGGTTGCTCCCTGGCCGGGGATTGAACTCATGCTTCAGTGGCTGCGGACAGCTTCATAGTGCGGTGTTTAACCCCTTGTGCCACCAGGGAGGTTCCCCTAAATGCTTTTGAAGCCAATCTAAGACTTCCAGTACCCATTTGTTTCCAACCATTGCTTCTCTTTGCCTTCCTTCCCATCCCTCCACACCCCCAAAAGAAGTGTGCAGAATAATGCAGTGGGAAGAGACTCAGCCTGGGCCCTGCAGATCTGTTCTCTCCCTCCAGGCCCACGGCCTCTCCCGTAACCAGTCCCCCCAGATTCTCAATCAGGCAGGGAAGCAGCCCAGCCCCCGCCCCTGTGTTCACTGGAGCCGTGTGTCACGCGTCCGGTTGCTCGCCCTGACATCAGTAGGGGCAGAGAGCACCCCAAACCCCGGAAGGAAGTAGGTCCCCACGATCACTACAAGCTCTGCTCGGGGAATGGAGATGGCAGCACCCGAAGAAAGCAGGTCCAGACCCTAAGGGGCACATTTCACCAGAAAGCTGCTTAACATGAAGGCCGTCCGGAAGCCACAGCCCAATTCCCACAGAGCCAGGGATCCTTCCCCTCGAAATGCACAAAATCACGTTGGTGTATGGCCTGCGTTTTGCACTGGTGAACAAGTACCTAAAACTTGGGGGACAGGAGAATAATGCAGGAGACTGGAGTTGGTCAGTTCCCTCCTGTCTTGGGATCACCTTCCAAAGCATTTGTCAGCACCACAGGAAATGCCCACCGCCCGTCCTGTTGCCTAAACCACACTCGATTTCACTTAGGAATACATCGTGTTTCACCCTCTTCTCTTATTTGAACAAGTGAAAACAAGTTGTGCCCCAATTTCTGTCCTCGGATTAAAAACTACTTCTGATTCTGCAGATAAGCTAAAGAGCCAAAGGAAGTGGTCGATGTTGCCTAACTAGATGTGTGCAGATGTTTAAAACCGTCTGCTATCTTATTAAAATAGGAATATTTGTAAACATCAGCCAAAAATCTGAGTCCCTTTAGACAGATAATGTTTATAAAAAAAATTATCTTAAGGGAGCTATTGCCTTCAGGATTTTGGGTATTAACAGTAGCTGCTTTTGAGGAAGCAATGGTTATGTAAAAACAAAGCAAAAAAAAAGAAAGAAAGATTAAGAGACGATGCTCTGTGTTTCTGTAGCTGCTGTCACCTTGTTGTATTTTGACGTGAGACTTGGCCTCAGCTCAGAGAGCAACCACCGCCCGCACTTTCTCCTCCACACCCTGCACAAATGGAATTCCGAGAGCAGAGGTCTGCGAGTTCATCACCCGCGATGCCTCATCCTGAACATTTCAGGCGATCACAGATTCCGTGCGCGCCTCCCCCAGGACTCCGCACCGCCCGGCCGGGCCCTCGGCCTCCCCGAATCAGGGCCAGGGCCGGGCAGGGAAACTAGTTCCCGGGCTCAGCCTCTCCTCCCCGCGGCGGCCAGGGCGCTACCCAGCACCCCGGCTCCCCAGGGTGCAGGGCGCGGGGGGAGACGGGCAGAGCTTCCAGACACCACGTTCCTTGGGTACCCCTCGCACCCGCAGGTTAAGGATCCGGGTGAGGCGCGCCCCTCAGCGCCAGCCTTCCCCATTTCAGCTGCTTCCTCTGAGCACTTGAGCGACCTGCCCGGCGAAGGGCTCTCGCCCAAGGTGATCACACAGGATCTCGCCCCAACTCCGGCTCCGCTCCCCGCCAGGCCAAACGCCGCAGTCCCCGCGCGCGCTCAGGAGCTGCAAGTGCGCCCCACACCGCCACGGGTCAGAAGTTCTCGCCTTCAGGGGAAGACAGCACTTCTCGCTCTAGCACCCCAACACTCAGGACCCCGAGCCAGCCCCGCCGAGGCCGCCGCGCCCCCGGGAAGGGCGCCCGGGCGCCGGCACCTCCGCCGGGAGGGAGCGCTGGGAGCGCGGGGCTGGGGCGCCCCAGGAAAGAACGCAGCCGAGGGAACCCCAGGGCCTCCACGCCCCCCGCGGGCCCGTCCGGGTGCCGGGGCGGCTCGCCCCGCGCGGTGAAGCGCTTCCCGGCACGCGCTGGCCTCCGGGCGCCGCGGAGAGGCAGGCGGCCCTCGGGGCACCCGGACCCGCGCCCCCTCCCCAGGCCGCCGGGGTCCCGCGCCGGCTCCCGTCGCCTCGGAGGGACGAGGGGGGCGCGCACCTCCCGCCGCCGCCGAGGCCGAGGGGCACCCGGACCCGCGCCTGCTCCCCAGGCCGCAGGGACCCCGACCCGCGCGCCATCGGCGCCGCCCCGGCGGCCGGCCCGCGCCCCCTCCCCAGGCCGCGGGGAGACTCAGCCCGCGCGCCCCGCGCCCTCCCGCCGCCGGGCCCAGCCCCGCACTCACCCAGAGCTCGGAGCCCCAGCTCATGGTGCAGGGGGCGGGAAGGGGCGCGCCGCGCGGCGGGCGCGGCTCTGCGGTCCCCCTCCCTGGCGAGCCCTTCGCCCCGAGATCCCGGCGGGTGAGGAAAGCCCGTGGCCGCGCGGCCGCCGCCTCCGGGGCCGGTCGCTCCTGGCCGGGGTCTGCGCGGCGGCTCCTCCTCCCGATCGCTCCTCAGCAAAATGGCCCGAGGAAGCAGCAGCCGCGGCCGCCGCAGCGCCCGCCCGCCCCACACCCGGCAGCGAGGGGGGGCGCGCGGGGCGGGGCGCGCGGGGCGGGGCGCGCGGCGGGCGGGGCGCGGGGCGCGCGGGGCGGGGCCGGCCTGACAGCTCGCGCACGCGCGCAGCCCCGCCCCCGGCCCCCCCGACCCCCCGGCCCGACCCCCGTCCTCGGGCTCCCCCCGGGCTCCGCCGCGCCGGGGGGTCCGGAAGGACGCGTGGGGAGCCGGGCGCCCCCGCCGGGCTCTGTCTCCGCCTCGGCGCGCTCCGCCCGCTCTCGCCTCTGGGCAGAGCCGCCGGTCTACACCCGCGCTCTGCGGAGGCCCGAGGAGGCTGCGCCGCGCCGAGCGCGCTCCGGGCCTCGGGGCTCCCCTGGCCGCCATTCGCGCCGGCCCGAGCTCGCCCGGAGCCTGTTTCCCCCGCCCGGGCGCCCCCAGGCCCGGGGAGCCCCGCAGCCCGGCGCGGCGCGCGGGGGGCCTGGAGCGCGAGGTCTGCGCGCCCCGAGGCCGGGGACGCGCACCCAGGGGCGACCCGGCTGGCGGCGAGTGGCCGGGAAAGGAATCCAGGGGCGCGCAACCACTGGTTTCTGGTCTCTGAAACTAGTGATTTCCAACTTGTTTGGCCAAGAGACGCTCAGACGTGAGATCATGTTGCCGCCGGGTGGTGCAAGCGACGGCGCTGGGGCCACAGAGAGCGCCTGTGGCTCCAACCCGCCGCTCAGACGGGCGGCCCTGGACGGAGACGCCGCCTCGCGGGACGCCCAGAGCCCCCGCCTGCCCGCAGCAGGTAATACCGCGTCGTCTCACCGTGTGCCTGTGAGGTTAAGGCGCACCTGCTGCCTGACCTGCGGCTCGTAAACCGAGGGCTCATTTTTAGGAGATACTGACCCCCTTTCTGCGTGTTCCAGAGGTCTCCGCGCGCACAGTTCCCCCCTGCTCTCCACCCCTCCTGAGTACCTCAGTTCATTTTATTGCCTTTCCTGAGTAACTGTGGGCTCCTAAAATATGCCTCGTTTCAGAACTTCCACAGGGATGCGTCTCTGACACCCACCACCAGGCCCACCCCCAGCCTCCACCAGCTTGTTCCCCACCACGAAAGGGTGGGGCTGAAAACCCCTTGCAGATAAGCCTCTGGGTCTACTTCCTTTGTTGACAGAGTTACAATAAACTTAAACTATTTAAACTGCTCAGCTCTGTCTTTCTTCAGTTACAAGTCCCCCCTCCTCCTTGTTAGTGTATGTGCTTAAATATTTTATTCTGGCAATGACCAGGCCTGGAAACTCTTTAGTCCAGAGACTACTAGACCTCTGACAATCAGAACGTCCAGCCACCTATCTTTCAAGGCAGATTAATACCCAGAGTGAGTTGGAGGGGGTATGAGAAATTCAAGTCATGGGGCACCGTTTACTTTACTATTTGGAAATGTAAGTGAAATGCAGGTTGCCTAACGAGACCCTGCCTGGGTATCCACCTCCACTTCCCTTCCTGCCGAGACTTGAATATTTTCTCAAATACAATGATCTAATCTCGACGTGGAGACCTCTCAAAAATGGAGTGACTGCGTCAAGAAGATGCCATTCGGAGAAAAACACCTGCTGCTGAAGAGAAGAGACAGGAGAAGGGAGGAGTAGCAAGCGGAGCAGAAAACATGAGGCACGTAAAGATGAAACCTTTGAAGACGAGTAAGCAGGAAATAGTTATAGGAACCCATTAAAAGCCACCGCAGCAAAACTCTATGGAGCCAGGTTAATCAGACCACACTGCAAATATGTTCATGTCGGTAAGTTTAGGTGGTAAGAGTGAAAGGTTTGAAAGGGTCCAGATCTTTAAAAAATAATAAAGGAGAAAGACACCACTGGTTTGAAGTTACGGAAGCATACAGGGACCAAGATAAAGAAAAAAGCCAGCGAAGATAAGATAAAACACAGTATTTTTTGAGGAGCTAAGTCCATTTCAGCTTCCCTTAGAGTAAAACGGAGTGACTCTTAAAGAGGAAATACTCAGTATTAACAACTTACTGGACCTGACCTACTTAGGAATCAATTGTCACAAGAGGTGATCTACACTATGCAAATGCTGGAATTACCCAGGGTGTCAGTCTGGGTTACCTACACCTCAGCAATAGAAAACACGGATTTACAAGGTTACCATCTTGGTGGGTAACTATATATATTTCGACTGAATAAGCTGAACACGTGGCTGTTACCACTATTATAAAGTCTCTGGACACACACCCTATATAGACTGCTACTTAGTTAGAGGCAAACCGTCTTATTTGGCAATTCTCACCTGCTTGCAATAAATAATTATCAGAGTCAAGGACTTAGATGTATAAATATCTATATCTTATTTATTTCAAGAGACACAGATTTTGTAATTGTTAAATCAGGTCCCTAGCGTCCCACTGCTTACTAGATGTCTGGCCTTCCAGCAGGTAATTTAAACTTTCTGTGCTTCTGTTTCCTCATTTGTAAAACAGGCACCTCCTAGGTAGGGTGCCTGAAACGAGGGAGCTGGCAGTGAGCACAGGCTTTGGGGGCAGCCAGATTCAGACAGCCCCACACCACAGCTCCAGAGCTTCGGCTGAATTACTTTCCTTCTCTAAGCTGGAGTCTCCTCTTCTATAAAATGGAAATGCTCCTTGCTTCAAAGGTTATTACAATGATGAAAAGAAAGAAAACTCATGTAAAATGCTTAGCACACAGGGCCCAAGTGTTGGTGCCCTTTCCTTCCCTCTTACTTTATGGAGATTTTTAATTATTGTATAAGAAAAGCAATCCTTTGAGCACTTCTGACAGCACAAGGCAGCTTGCCTGGACTCCAGCTGACTGGTTGTCTAATGGTGAACAGCAATTTCTAATGAAATGCTCAGGACTTTCTTTTTTCTTTAAAAAGGCTTCCATCAGTTTCTAGCTGAACATTCCCTATTTATTTAGCATTCAAGCTTCTTACTGAGGATCCAAGAAAGCAGCCAAGTGGAAAAAGTTGGAGTGGGATAAAAGTCGGGACTCTATGGTGAGTAGAATCTTAAAACTACAACCAATTTTTGCAACTGATGATGGAATTCCCCTGAAGGTCAATAAAGAAATGCAAAAAATCAAGAAAATCTGGCCGGCTATGAGGCTGACGAGTTACACATTGTGCCAATAAGCTGAAGTTTAATTTGAAGTTTTTCTCCAGGATTTAAGATGTGTCAGGGCCCAGCTTTTCCATGAGGATCACTGGGCAGGAAAACACCAAGGTCATGCCCCCACCCCAAGCGAAAGAATGTCTTGGGAATGTATTTCCAGGCCCTGATTTGGCTTTTGGTTCTCTATACTGTGTTGATAGAGGTTTTGGGTCTGAAACACCAACTTTTTTTTAAAGATTTATTTATTTATTTATACAAGCACTGGGTACAGTCAGACGTGCAGGAGGGTGAGAGAATTCACCAGAACCAGAGCAGGGAACAGAACAGGCAGACTGACAAAATACACTGCTGAGGGGAGTAGCAGGCTTGGCAGGAGAGATCTGCGTGCCATGTGGGACCCTCGCCAGTGGCCTGGAATCGAACCGGTGCTGCAGAGGTGGCGGGCAGCCTTGCAGCCCAGCACTCAACTGCTGCACCATCAGGGGAGGCCCTGAAAACAACAACTTTTGATAAGAAAAACAAATGCCACTTCTGTCTTACTACACCTGGAGAATATGAACCCATTCAGTATTTTAAAAGATTGCTGAAAAATTTTGGAACAAATTTTGCTAAGTATCATAGCTCTAGGTTGGAACTACCAGTTTTGCTCCTAGTAGCAACCTTTAGTGGCTCCTGCGGAGTTGGAGGAAACAAAAATAAAATGCATGTGACTAAGAAAGTAAGGCCAAAACCCAGCCTTAGATCCACCTTTTCAGCCCCTCCAGGCTTTTTCAGTCCTTACCTTAAAGTTTAATGCCCCTTTGGAAGCACTGCCAGGGAGGAGCAGGCGTAACTTGTTGGGTTGCTCAATGTGTCTGTTTCCAGTTACAGTGTCATGATTATGCAAACAAACTTTTCTTGAAACTCTGAAATCATGAGTCTAAATATAAGCAGTTTTCACAGAATTGGAAAACTGTCTAAAAAGTACTTCGCCTTTGTAATTACTGTTCCCGTTCTTATTTGTCTCAGTTCTAAACTAATGACCAGCATTCTACAGTTCTCGACTACCTGGAGGAAGCTATCTCTGACAAACCTCTGGGGAAACACCATAGCACATGACCTTGGTGAAGGCCACAGGAGAATTCCCAAGTGAAAAGAAGCAAGGAACAAGATGCAACTATGAGTCCTTGCGAAATGGTTTTCCAGAAACCAAAAGACAAGTTTTCTACCTTCTAAACTATTCAGATGTTTCATCATACAAAACACGAAATCAAGATTCTTCCTAATCACTCCCTGTTGAAGAAGCCTCTATATTCAAATTTAAAATCAGAAATTCTCAAAAATGTTACCACACTTTAAAAAGTAAACAGTAAACATACTCCAAAGCATTTGAAGTTTAAAGTGCTTTAAAAAAGAAACTGCACTTATGAATCACCCTTCCCTTTATTAGTTGTTCAGTTTCATATTGAAGTGAGACTCAGCTATCTGTTTTTGGTATTTCCTCCTGATACCTAAAAGAAAGTATCACTTATTTTACATCATTCCTACCATGCCCTTTCATGTTGCTGATTTATAAAATGCTTTCCAAAAGTATTTCATTTGATAACACATTGTTACTTGGGTTCTGGCTTTTTTTTTCAGGTTATAAAAACCCACCTTTTATTTTTACCCGGCAAGTGTTGGGGGAGTCTGTAACAAAAATAGGTCCACATGGGGCCTCCCTGCTGGCGCAGGCTGTTGAGCACAGCGTCATGAAGTTGTCCGCAGCCTCTGCAGTGTGGGTTCAATCCGGCCGGCTGGGGAGAGTCTCCTGTCTCGCCCGCTGCTCCCCTCAGCAGTGTATTTCGTCAGTCTGCCTGTTCTGTTCCCCACTTTGTCTCTGGTGAATCTTCTCACCCTCCTGCGCCTCTGGCCTGTATCCCTGTTCTTGTATGAATAAATAAATCTAAAAAAAAAAAAAATGGGTCCACAGCCTATGGAGTGCAAAAAGAAGGGTCCACAGCATTAGACCAGGAGTGGGCTGGCAGCATGGAGCTCAGGGGTGGGCGGCTTCACTCCAAGTGTGGGCCACAGGCTGGGGCCCTACTGTTTGGCAATGGCAAAGGGCTTCTCCACCTCCATCTTGCCACAGTCTGAGACTGTCCCATCCTCAGGGCTTGTCTCGACCATCTGTCATGGCACTGTCCCCCTTCTGCGAGACCACCATGCTTCTAGGACCTTGCCAAGCACGTGCTCACCATCTATCCAGGCTCTCTCCACCATTTAAGAACTGGGAGCCGCTGGTGTCTGCCCTGGGCCTTGGCCAGCTCCCTCAGCGTTACCTCCAGAGCCACCTCCCTGGGCGAAGCCTCTGTCCTGGATCATTAATTCTTGATCACGCAATGGAATTTGCTGTCTTTGTAGTCAAACCCTTTCTCTCCTGTAGCTAAGGCGGGTTAAAGAGACCCATACTCATCCTTGGCCTATGTCTTTATCTCCAATGCACAAGTCAAAGTACACTTCAATGGTGATGTGGGTCCCTTCTTCTCATTGGCCACTGAAGCTCCTGGCAATAGCAGAAGTGGAGACCCACAGGAAGGGCCTGGAGAAAAAGGACCTTCGTGGCACTTATTATCTGCAGGAGAATCAAGCTCTGCCAGGGGAAAAGGGTCTTTTAACAGCACAGTGCAAGAAGCACAGCCAGTTTTGAAGCAGGTGGATTCCAGTCTTGGTTCTAAAGATACTTGCTGAAAATTAACCAACCACTGGAGTGATCATGAGCAAATCACTTAGGGTTTATTTTCATGTCCGTTGAATTAGATTTTGTGGATTCTGGTCTCTTCGGGAATCTTAGAATCAACCCCACTTATCCTTAGGGGATACCTTCCAAGAACCCTGTGGATGCTTGAACGTGCAGATAATAACAAACCCTACATACTATATCCTCTGTTTTCCCCTATACATACATGTGCGTGGTAATGTTTGATTTATAAAGTAGGCACCATCAGAGATTAACAATAATAAAATAGACCAATCATAACATACTGTAATAAAAGTTATGTGAATGTGGTCTTGAGACAAATTATTGTATTTAATATTTCTGGACCGTGGTTGACCACTGGAACCACAGAAAGAGAAATCATAGGCCAAGGCAGGATCACTGGAGATGCCTAAAGATCAGAGATTGGGGAAAGCAGGGCTCTCCTCCACCATCTAGCAAACATCACTGTCCGATCTTTCTGGCCCCACCTTAATGCCCTACTTTTGTCCTTGCAGAGGGTGTAACAGAACTTGCACTGCCTTTGGCTCAAGGGAAGAATGCATGCTTCATGACTTTTATTAAGATTGCACACAGCTGGAAGATCTAGGACTCTCATCCCAGTTGACTTCTTTAATCTGTGTGCAGTTCCATGAAAATATGTTCATTTCAGTTCCTAGTCCCAGTCAAAGACTGAAAGGATCTGGTCCTGTCATAGAACACGCTCCTGCACTGATACTCAGATTGGCATTCTGGGCGATTTTTATTTTCTCTGATTTTGAGTCCTTTTTTTAAAGATTTATTTATGCATACAAGAACTGGGGTGTAGGCCAGAGGGGCGTGTGTGTGAGAGAGAAAGAGAGAGAGAGAGGGAGAGGGGGAGGGAGAGAGAGAGAGAGAGAGAGAGAGAGAGAAATTCACCAGAGACAGAGTGGGGAGCAGAACAGGTGGATCAAATGAAATACACTGCTGAGGGGAGCAGCAGGGAGACAGGAGAGGTCTGCTGTGCCATGTGTCTCAGCTCCCTGGCCCAGGATTGGGGATGGAAACTCCTGCTGCTGCTTCATAGTGCTGAGACTTAACCCCTTGTGCCACCAGGGAGGCCCCTATTTTCTCTGATTTTGCTTAAATAATTTCACACAAAGACCGTGCATTGTTAGTGTGGCCCGCTTAAAAAAAAATCAAAAAACGAAATAAACCTCACCTGTTTATTAACAATTTTAATAACCACGTTCTTCTAAAGCTCCTTGATTTAAAAAAAAAAAAAAAAAAAAAAAAAAACGAGAGAAGGGAACCCACTACTGAATCCTTCCATTAAAGATCTACCCAAAGGGCCTCCCTGGTGACGCAAGGGGTTAATACGCAAGCTATCTGCAGCCACTGCAGCAAGAGTTTGATCCCCGGCCAGGGAGCTACCCACATGGTGCAGCAGACCTCTCCTGTCTCGCCCACTGCTCCCCTCAGCAGTGTATTTCAGTCGATCTGCCTCTTCGGTTCCCCTCTGTCTCTCGTGAACCCTCTCACCCCCCACAACTCTGGCCTGTGCCCCAGCTCTTGTATGTATAATAAAATCTTTAAAAAAAAAATCTACCTACAATTGAAAAAATAAGCAAATGAATAAAGGTCTCCCTATAAATTCCGAGGAAAGTTTCCACCCAGAACGAGAAAGACATGAGCCTTAGACTCCATCCAGGGCAACAGAAATGAAGCAAAGTCAAAGGTTCCCACGTGGCCCTCCCCGCTGCCCCTGAAACAGGCCTTGCAGAGCCTCATTTTGCTACCTGTACAGAGAGACAGTGGTGACACCTATTTCATCGGACCGTTCCAAGGCGTACAAGCGAGAATGCAGACAAAAGACCTAACCGAGGGCTCCATAAACCCTCTGTCTGCAGCCATTTCCTCTGAAATTTCAGTGTTAAGTGCTTAGAAAACCAAGGACTGGGAACCCGCCAGGAACCCCCAGGGCTAGTCCGCCGAGGGCGCGCAGCTCTCGGCCTGGGCCCATCACCGAGCAGGCCAGGCGTGCGGGCCCCAGGGCCAGCACCCCACGCTCGCGGAGCCGGGGTTCCCCCGGGGGCGGGGTCCGGCCCGGGCCGCTTCCCAGGCCCAGCGCGGTGAGCCCGGGCCGCTGCCGCACGGGGGCGCCACCTGTGCTGGGGCCGCCGCAGGCCGCGCGGGGATGGGCCCCTGAGCGGCCCCGAGGCGGCCAGGCGCGGCCCCTCGGCCACGTCGCGGGCAGCAGGTCGCCGGCCCAGGGTCACAGGCCGCGCCGCTGCCCGCCCGGGCCCCGGCCGGGCCCTTCCGGCGCCGCCGCCCTTTGACCCCGGAAGTGGGCGGGGAGGAAGCGGCTGGTGATGCTGGAACAAACATGGCCGCCCCGGCGCCCCTCGGCCCCTCGGGCTCCCGCGGTCCTCGGCCGGCCGCCGGCTTCCGGCTGCTCCCGCTGCTGGGGCTGCTGCAGCTCCTGGCCGAGCCGGGCCTGGGCCGCGTCCACCACCTGGCGCTCAAGGTACGGCCGCGGGCCGGGCAGGGCCGGGCCGGGGGGCGGAGGCCGACGCCGCTCCCCCGGGACGGGGCAACTTCGGCTCCTCGGGGGTCCTCGGGGCCACCCGGCCCCGGCGCTCGGGCGCGGCGGCTCGCGAGGGCGGCTCCGGGGAGCGACGGGCGTGACGGCGCGGGGGCCCTCGGGTCGTCGGGGGGGCCGGAGGGGGGGCTCGAGCTGAGACCGGGAGGGGGCTGAGCTGCCGCGTCACCCCGGGGGACCCGGGGGCCGCGCTCGCCCTCCCTGCCGGCTCCCGAGGCTCCTCGCCCGGGGCGGCCCCCCCCTCCTCCCCGGCAGCTTTCATCTCCGACTTCACTCGTCGGCGGCCTCCGACTCGTCCCCTCCTGCCTGCAAGTTGGAAAGTAGGCGAAACCTTAGTCTTAGTTTTCTGGTTCGCCCTAGGGCGCTCTCCGGAGTGATCAGAGCTGCAACTCTGGAGGAATTTCAAATCTTGCTTGAAATACAACACCGAGAATGAAAAATCAGCTGTGAAAAAAGGTTTCTAGCCAGGGAGACTGTCCTGTTCGTCCTACCTGTCACTTGTATTTTGTACACACACCCAAAAAGTCGGCTAAGGCTAAACGTCCCTCCAGGCGGTTCAGCGGGTTAATATATCTGGAAAATAAGAAAACACATCTTTATCAGCCAACGTCTTACACGTTTGCTCACAGTTAACAGTTTTCTAAGAAGCTGAGGGGTTATAGAGTTTATCTTACTTTAACGCATTGCTTTAGGAAGCCACCAAATGTTTTGATTTATTATGAACATAGTCTTTAAAGAATACAGTCAGCACTAGAAGCCTGACCAGACCCCAAAACCGTACTCTGGGGTATCATTTTTTGTTGTTTGTAAATAAAAATAACCCTGACAAAAGTGGTTCTTTCCAGGGAGATGATCTTGGCTCCTTTTGAGACTCTGCTGAGAGTGATTTGAGAAAGTGCAAGTAGAATGCAGACGAAACTTCCTCGGAGTTTGTTGGGGCTTTCTGATCCTCTTTAAGCTTACTTGTAGCCATAGTTCCTAGGCTTGACTTCAAGTTAAGAAAGCGATCTTTAAAATTCTTTCATTTTACACTTTGGCATCCTTTATCTTAGATCAGTAATGCAGCTGAGGTCATATTAATTAGCTTATAGATTAGATATAGGACACACTGGGATATGTCTTGACTCCCAATCCTGTGCTCTTTTTACTTTTCTACAATTAAAATGTCAGCTGGCTGGATCATTAGATAAATGCTAATAGTGTTGGTATAGATGAAAATTTATACTAAGCTCCGTGGTAGAAGCAAACTAAGTTGGTGTAATTTGGTGATTGATTTCTCTGTCTTGCAACAGTAAAGCTTTTTATCTTTGTAACATAGCTTCTTAAGTGTGGTCCTTACTCCATAGTCACTACTGTGATTGTTTTAAACATTGTATCTTCTTGCCCAAGGAAAAGGAAATCACCTGAAGAGAGCCTGTCAGAGAAGCAACATTAGATTGTCTTTACCATGTATTCCTTTTAATGGCTGAATACTATTACATTGCATGGGTTTTTTGGGTTTGTTTCTTTGTTTTTAAGCATAGCCATTTTCCTACTGATGGACATTTGGGTTTTCATTTTTTGGCCATTGTGAATAGTTCTGCTACAAACATTCACATGCAAATCTTTGTGAAGACATGTTTTCATTTCCGGGTGGGGGGTAGTGTCTAGGAGTGGAGTAGAGTTGTCATATGGTGGATTTATACTTGACTTTTTAGGAAACTGCCAAATAACTTTCTAAGATGACTATGCCACCAGCAGTTTATGGGGATTCTCCTTTCTATACGTTGTTCCCATTATTTATTGTTTTTTCTAAAGATTTGTTTATTCATATAAGAGCTGGGGTGTGGGGGGAGGGTGAGAGGATTCACTGGAGACAGAGTGGGGAGCAGAATGGGCAGATCTACTGAAAGACACTGCTGAGGGGAGCAGCAGGGAGAAAGGAGAGGTCTGCTGCACCATGTGGGTCAGCTCCGTGGCCAGGGATCAAACTTGTGCTGCAATGGCTGCTGATATCTTTCATAGTGCTGAGACTTAACCCCTTGTACCACTGTTATAGGACAGGGAGAGGGGCAGCCCAAACCCCGCAAACCTGCCTATTCTACATGGGTTCTGCCATCCGCCGCATCAACACAAAACATAGGAGACTTTAATGGGAAGGAACTTTAATAAAACTAGGAAACAATACAGGTAAGGCAAAGAGTCTAGTTTCTAAATGAAGCATCCAGAGTTACCTGTCCCCTCGTGGGTAAAAGTCCATCCAAATGGGATTGGCCCAGAGCAAGGCCCCAAAGCCTGCTACAAGTCTAAAGCATCTTCCAGTGGGGACCCACAGAAAAGGGTCACAAACAACTGGACAAGCCCGGAAGGAAAAGAGCAAAATCAACATCAAGATAAAAGCTGCCATGGTCACCTCCCCACGGGTCTCACCCACATCTGTGTCACCCAGTCCACGACCAAAAGACAAGCGCAGTTTCTTCACGTGTCTCTAGGCTCCAGGCACCTCCTCCAGGTCTCCTTGCTCCATCCTGCTTCCTTCCTCAGTCTCCTCTGCAGCTTCTCCTCTTCCTGCTCAGCTCCACCCTCCCTTGGGTGGGGCAGGGAACCTCCCCCTTTCCTGGGGACCACCCTGTTACAATCCCCCCTTTTAATTTTTATTCCACCATATCTATGGTGGCACAGATCTCATGGTGCAATCTTAGGAGACAGTCTTTTTTCAGTGTTACAATGTGTGTAAGTAAAGCAACAATTAGTCAGCAGCATTGTCCATGAATGTCCAGTATGAGTTTCATTACTTAAAAATAGTCCATTATCCAAGCCAAAAGAAAAAAAATTTGGAGCATTGGCTAAAACAAGATAGCAAATATATCAAAATCACAGGGAAAAAATGTTAAAATGGTTCAACTTATGCAAAAACGAATTCTCTCAACCTTGATCCCAAACTTTTTACAGCATAGCAAAAGTTTGCAAATTAAATCTACTTTTAAACCATTTTTCCTATTTTTGCATAAAATCACAGGGTAGAAATAACTAACAGCAATTTTTAGCTGGCTTTGTTGAAATACTCCATACAGGATCAGAGCGAACCGGTGGCATCCAGTCGAGGTATGCTTCAGGTATAAAGTTGGTCTCATCAGACCCCACCTGGGCTTTCCTCTTCTCGAGGGTACCAGGGCATTTTCGTTGGCCGGGTTGTCCAGTCCTGCCAATGGAGGCAAGCTTCCTCACCTTCTTTGGCGGTCTCTGGAACCCTACAAACAAGGCAAACAGGTTCTCCTCTTCTTGGTTCAGCTCTTTTTCAACTTTCTGGAAGAACTCCACACAAAGCCACACAATCAAATTCAGGTCCAATTTTTTTGTTAAAACAGGCAAAATCCCTATGGAAGTTATGCAAAAACAGACTCTGAAATAAGTAGCAAAAATTACTACCACTATTTGTATGCTGTGTTGGTATCAAGGGGAGAGAAAATGTGACAAGTTAGTTTTGCTGGAAAAAAAATTACAACCTTTCTGCAGATCCTGGTTACTCAAAACAAAACAAAACAAAAAACTTCGTGGATTCAGGACAGAATGCATAAAAAAATTTCCAGTATGTCAAAGAATCTGTTATAGGACAGGGAGAGGATCAGCCCAAACCCTGCAAACCTGCCTATTCTAAATGGGTTCTGCCATCCGCCGCATCAGCACAAAACATAGGAGACTTTAATGGGAAGGAACTTTAATAAAACTAGGAAACAATACAGGTAAGGCAAAGAGTCTAGTTTCTAGTTTCTAGTCTAGTTTCTAAATGAAGCATCCAGAGTTACCCATCCCCTCGTGGGTAAAAGTCCATCCAAATGGGATCGGCCCAGAACAAGGCCCCAAAGCCTGCTACAAGTCTAAAGCATCTTCCAGTGGGGACCCACAGAAAAGGGTCACAAACAACTGGACAAGCCCGGAAGGAAAAGAGCAAAATCAACATCAAGATAAAAGCTGCCATGGTCACCTCCCCACGGGTCTCACCCACATCTGTGTCACCCAGTCCACGACCAAAAGACAAGCGCAGTTTCTTCACGTGTCTCTAGGCTCCATGCGCCTCCTGCAGGTCTCCTTGCTCCATCCTGCTTCCTTCCTCAGTCTCTTCTGCAGCTTCTCCTCTTCCTGCTCAGCTCCACCCTCCCTTGGGTGGGGCAGGGAACCTCCCCCTTTCCTGGGGACCACCCTGTTACAATCCCCCCTTTTAATTTTTATTCCACCATATCTATGGTGGCACAATCTCAGGGTGTAGTCTTAGGAGACAGTCTTTTTTAGGGTTACAATGTGTGTAAGAGAAGCAACAATTAGTCAGCAGCATTGTACATGAATGTCCAGTATGACAGTTTCATTACTTAAAAATAGTCCATTATCCAAGCCAAAAGAAAAAAATTTGGAGAATTGGCTAAAACAAGATAGCAAATATATCAAAATCACAGGGAAAAAAAATGTTAAAATGGTTCAACTGATGTAAAACACAAATTTTCTCAACCTTGATCCCAAACTTTTAACAGCATAGCAAAAGTTTGCAAACTAAATCTACTTTTAAACCATTTTTCCTATTTTTGCATAAAATCACAGGGCAGAAAATAACTAACAGCAATTTTTAGCTGGCTTTGTTGAAATACTCCATACAGGATCAGAGCGAACCGGCGGCATCCAGTCGATGTAGGCTTCAGGTATAAAGTTGGTCTCATCAGACTCCACCTGGGCTTTCCTCTTCTCGAGGGTACCAGGGCTTTTTCGTTGGCCGGGTTGTCCAGTCCTGCCAATGGAGGCAAGCTTCCTCACCTTCTTTGGAGGTCTCTGGAACCCTACAAACAAGGCAAACAGGTTCTCCTCTTCTTGGTTCAGCTCTTTTTCAACTTTTTGGAAGAACTCCACACAAAACCACACAATCAAACTCACGTCCAATTTTTTTTTTTTTTAAACAG